TATTTCCCCTATTTATGTATTTATAATGGAAAATATATAAATATTTCATTTTTTTCCCGTGCAAAATGTGTTATTTTCTTACCAATGAATTAAAACACAGTATGCAAATTGTAAATTTGCAAAACATGGTACTCGAATTTTAAATACTCCCTTAATGTAGGGACATATTTTGTAAATTTTCCTAAAATATTGGCCCTAATGTTATTATGTTAATAATGGTCATATATTTATGATTGCATATTAGTCATTTACATCCCAATATATTATCTACAGTATGACACATACTACTTATCTCTGCTTATTTTTGTTTGCCTTCCATTTCTGAACCTGGCAAACATCTTAGAGTAACATTCTGACTAAATTGTTGGTCAGCGTGAATGCATTACATATGGGTATCGTCGTCAACTACTCAACCTCACCATCTCTCTCTTCCACCATATGGATTCGGAATATCCTGTGCTTTCAATTTCTAAATATATCATGATAACTACATATCAATGGCACTTGATCATCAAGATTTCAATTTTGAATTCAATTCTTCATCAAAGATGCACAATCATGAACCTAGATGTCTACACTTATTAGGACAATCAAAATAGGTTTCTTTAGTAGATAGTAACCATATATTAAATTAAAACTAAAACCTTCTTCCACATCCATTGCATTTATTAAAAAATGTTCTTAAAATGGCTAGTTCCCCCAGAAATGTGTCCTTGAGCATTGGAGTGTCGGAAATCCTCCAAAAGACGTGCTGAAAATGTTTGAGCTTGTTTGATGCATGTTGGTGCAATTCTGGTAAATGTCCACTCTCTTTTTCATCAAGTAAGTTGCCTTGTATACCCATTTTCCTGTGAGTAGTATGTTCTAGTAACATAAGATATACTACATTGTCCTGTGTATGCAAACAGAAAATACCGTGTGGATATCATCTTCACCAATTATTACACTAGTGACCTGCCATATATTTACCCAACCAGATGAGGCTTTGCAATCACCTGATGATTATGAGCTATTTACACTAAAATCTTCAACATTCTAGAAAGTTTTCTGGTCGATGGTTGTCAGTGTAAGGGTTGGACTTCTCCTCTAGAAATAGAGAAATGTTTTGAAAAAAAAATAAAAATAAATGCACACAGTTTAATATATTTAGTGTATACTCCTGCTTTAAAGTCAAAGCAGAGGTTGCTGCATGTCTTCTTTATTTCTGGAAGTTACATATTGCCATTAGCATTGAAATTGGATGCAATTTTTACTTATTGAACTTGATGTTGGTTGTTGTTCAACATGCAGATATTGCCTCAATTTCCCCTTCCAACGCACAATGTGGTCATCCAATATGGATTTCCTAGTGAATTTGAGGTGCTAAACACTTGACATCATTTAAATGATATATATGTGGTTGTCTCTAATAGATTGAACTTTTAGATCAAATGGGTAACATGGTACCAGAGCTTGTTTTTGACTCTTGCCATTACCCATTTGAATTATATAAGTGAGATCTTCTCTAACAGCTTGAACTTTTAGATCAAATGGTTAACAGAGGTCATATCTAATTAATTCCTATTGCTAATCTAATTCCATTTTTCCAGCGTAATGTTGTTGCTTATGATGAGGGGCAATCTCGAGATCTAGAAAAAGTCATTGTTCTGGGTGACGCCATATCAGATCTTCCTCCTGTATCTTCTGTCTACATTTTGTTACTCTGCCATATTTTTTTATGGTAAACTTGCATTCTTATTTTGTTCTATTGCAAGGTTGGGAATGAGGAGATTCGTGACAAGATGCCATACAAAAAGTGTCCAGAAACTGAGTTTCAAAAGTATATTAGAGCATCTAAATCTGGTAGAAATACTTTATCTTATCATTGAACTCTTGATAATTCTGACATACGTTGCAGTTGCTGTTCGTCACTTTCATTTGTTGGGAAATTAGCATAATTTCAGCATGTCCATTTTGTGATGCGCACTTCATTCATACTATTTGTCTCGTGTTCATTACATGTGCTAATTTGATTGGGTGCATATGTCCTACACACATCTACTCATATGTACAGATAATCCTGTTGTTGCCAAAACGACGTCATTAAATACTTTTTGTAACTTCTGATTCCTATATATCCAGTCAGACAGATAGCCAACCTATGGTTTTGTTTGAGCCCCATTTTTTTGGAAGAATAGCTTTTGTAATGTTGATTTTTTGAAGAATGTATAGTTTTGGGTTACGTGTAAAATTATGTTATCGGGAGAATGTGTGATTGAAAATAAATTTGAAGAAAATGAGTTTTTAAAGAATGGGGATCAAACATGGGCTATATAT